ATTTCAGTTCTGAGTGCAAATGAATAAATCTTCATTATTGAACTTGTGGAGTGTATCCCCTGTACATATCCCCATGCAAGTTATGCTGCTGTTTTGGTGATGTACATTTTGGATTGACTGTCAGTGCCAAACTAGAAACTTACTCTGTATCTTCAGCAGGTGCAACAAGTTGTCTTGTGACCCACTGATGGGTAACACTATTGGAGAGATTGGTAACTGGTGCTTTCTAAATTCTCTTTATCCATATTATCGTGTTCACATATGAAACTTGTTATTACAGCATCTTGTTTTCTGGTTTTGAAGCACTATCAAAAGCAAGTTATCATTTCACCCACATAAAAAGCATGTGTGGGCTTTCTCAGGAGTGTAGGACAATTCAGCTCTCAGAGATATCGCTTTTTCCATCAAAGCATGTCCTTTGTTGTGCATGCGTAAAAAATATTTGCACTACAGAGCAGGCACACCCTATTATTTTTTGGCATTAGCTGCAGTTCATTGATAGTTAATTAGAGATATCTCCTTTCTCTGCCCCTTGATTGCAATTCTACTTGTCAAGGGCTTGTAAAATTAAGTGGCCTGCATAAATTGCCACAAAAGTTTGGGGTTTTTTTTCCCCTCAGGGACAGACTTCGCTATCACAGACCTATGAATCCAAATTATGGAGAATATGCTATTGGCAGTCTTCACGGTGAGGCTAAGTGGGCATAGAGCATAAACCGTGCTCCCTTTTCTGGAGTTAGCTTTTCCGAAATAGACCTGTGACAGTAGTAGATAATTAATAGTGCATTAAGAGAGCATTTACCTGTGGGACTGCAAATTGTTTGGCTTCCTGCCCTGCATCCCCTCTTCTGTGGTCTCTCATCTAAGAATGTTAGCAAAGTTTCTTTTGTAGTAATAACTTTGGAAAAGAGAATTATTTAATTTTTTTTTTTAATTGTAGAGCTACCTACAGTAAATAAATTCTAAAAAGAAATGCCTAGCTTTCTAGGCACTTATTTGTATCCCTTCTGGTGTTCAGCTTGATGGCTTCAGTCCTACCTTGTTTCTCTGGGTAATCTGATACTCTGAAATGTGCTGTACAGTTCAGCAGAAAAAGGAATTTGCTTTGTCTAAGTCATTTAATAGCTTTTAAATCCCAGTGGATTAGAAATTTGCAGGGTACTATATGCTGGCTGTATCTTGATCTCCAGGACTTGGAGACGATTTGAATTGCTTCTTAATAACTATTAATAGAACTGTTAATTAAAGCCAAAGCAGTGAGAACAAGTGGTATCACAATAAGAGTAGAAGGAGAGGGGTTAAATAAAATGTGGGTTGCGGAAACTGTTAAAATTTACAAGTGAAGTTTTGCAGTAGCTTTAATGCAGTCACTTACAGATTGCATCACTGAAACATAGTGAACGCTTCCTTAAGTAGTGTTCCTATAACCATGTTTAGTCCTAGGAAAACAAGCCAGTTTGGAAGGCATCGAGCTATGAAGCCACATGGCAAGAGTCTGCTGTAACGTACTGCTGCTACACTTTCCATGAGGCACGACACAAGTGTCACAAGGGGATAGCACCAAATAATGACCTGGTGCACTGGTAAAACAGAAACCTCTGAGAAACTGTAGTTTAGATAAAAGATCTAAATCTCTTATTCTAGATATAGAAGGTAATCTAAACTATGTAGTTACAGAGTCTAAATAAAGAATCCATACGCAGTAGAGTGCTTCAGCAGAACTTAATTTATCTTGCAAATGGAGGCTTTGTGGGTAATTCCAAGTTTATCCTTCAGAATGCTACATTGTCAATGACAAACCCCAATACTACTGGAAAGAATCTTCAATAACCTACAGATACAAAAAGGCAGCCGACAAAA